ATAAACGCGTGTGACAAAAAAAATGATGAGAAATTCTAATATGCGATATGTAATGAGGGAACTACTCGAACTGTAACTCGTTGTTTGAGCTCTTATTGTGCCTACAAGGAAGTCTTTGAAAGATTGGAAAAAGCTTAAAAGAATTCGTTCTCATAGATCTTTAGAGTCGAGTTACGATCGTTTTACTAAACTTTCGACGTAGAATTTTGCTCACGGATACGAACCCTTTTTAGAGTTTTTCTAGTCTTACTGGGACCTCCTTGCAGATCCAACATAAGTTCAAATGGCGGATTAAAATTGGAGTAGTTCCCTCATAAACTCCGATATTTTCTACATATTATTCAATTCTATTAATCTTTCTTTATATTAATTAGATGTCAAAATCAAGCTAACTCAAATATTCCAGTATCAGTCGTTGTTCCCTCGCGAACTCCTCCGCTGTCTTCTTCGACGCCTCCACGTTCATCGTCTCCACCTTCATCTTCTCCACCTACTCCAATAAATCCTGTGATTCCATCTATATCAAATGATGCCAAGTTACCACATTCATCAGCTAGTTCTCCATCATCAAAAAAATCTCAAGGAGCTCGATTTTCAAATAATATTAATAATACTCCTGTGCTTCCTTCTTTTCCACCATTACCACCGTCACATCATCGTGCATCAAATAATATAATAACATCATCATCAGGTTCATCATCTTCAGCTGATGCTAGTCGATCATTACCATCTAGTGATGCTAATCAATCAAGTGACGCACGAGCTCGTCGTCGTCTTCGTGTACGTTTAAGTAGTCCATTACCTATGAATGAACAACAAATGGATTTAAATTTTTTATCAAAACTTAGTCAAAATGATACATTAAAACGTCGACAACGTGATCAACAACTTAATAATCATTTAAAACAACATCATCAAGCATCATCCGATGATGAACATGAAATATCATCAAATGCTAATCCTTCTCAACCAGTTATTGTAAATATTTCTTCTCTTTCTCTCTTTTATTTTAATTTAATTTAATTTATATTCTTATTAGGTTGTTGTTCAACCAAAAAGATCAGTTAAACAAAATTCTGCAGGATCATCAATTGAATCAAATCTTAATAAGTTATCATTTGATGATGATATTGATTCTTATGAACGTGAATCAAATATTAATTCTCAACAACAACAACAATCACAATCAAAAATTACAAAATCATATGATTCAAATAATAATGTTCAAAATTCCAATGCACGTCAACGTCGTCGTCATAGTCGCATACAATCATCAACTGAAGCATCAAGTCAAATAACACCAAATAATAGTTATCATGAATTATCTCATTCAAACTCACAAGATTCAATCTCAGCTGAAATTGAAAAGAAAAAAGAAGGGTATATTTTATATTAAATTCATTCAAAATAAAAATTCTTATTTGTTTTTTTTTTCTTCAGAGAAAAAGATATGAACGATTTACTTTTTATGTTAACTGCAACATTAAAATTGGCACCTGTAACATCAGCAGATATTCAAAATTCTGATCTTGATCCGAATGAATTAACAAATAGTAGTAATGATAGTGATAAAACAATTGTCTACGATGGTTATTCTCATTCATCATCTACAGCACAAAGTAATGTATACAAATGTATTAAATAAAAATAAATATTTTGCTTTTGATAAGTAGATTCAAGACCATGGTTGTCAGGTGATCGAACAATGGAAGGTCCACTACTTCAAACAAATCATCTTTATAAACGTTGTCAAACATTAAAAGAGTAAGATAGATGTAACTTTATTCTCTAGATATAATTAAATAAGTTATTCCCCAGGCTTACAAGCAAAGTCTGTTAACTAATTAATCGATTTTAAGTTGAGGCTATGAATACTCTCAGGAGATACTTTAATTTTAAGATATTTTTTAACACAAAGCCGTGATCTTTCTCATAAATATCAGAAGTAATTTTTGAATTTCAACTTATAATTTTCCACAGAAACCGTTCTTAACGAGAATAATTTTATTGTGAAATTTTCAGATATTTTCGTTCTTCGTATGCTAAGATACGACTATGATAGAAGCTATTCTTTCACATCACTCATGTATGACGGTCAGTTTGATGTTCTCATTCCAGGATAGAACTAAATCAAACGATCTGAAGCTTTCATAATAAACGATTCTCATTATGAATTATCTCTATGCAAAGTTTCAAGTTGAAATTCAAAAATCAATTTATCCGATATTCCTGAGGAAAACCAAGGCATTAAGTAAAAAATAATATCGCAAGAATGCAGAATCTTCACAGCAATAAGTTAAGGGTTCAAACTCTCTTATCAAGGTATTCATAACTCATTCGGATCTACATGAGGTATATATAGTTTCGACTAAAAAGATAATTACTCAGTTGTGAGATTTCCCTCGTTAGTAGATAGTATAATGAATTGAGCGGCTATCAATATCAGTTCTTTTTCTTCAATTCATTCACATGTATAAATAATCCAGCTGAGGCTTTCTGCTCTACGTTAAAGCTAAAGGTTTCATGCTAGTTCAAGCGTATTGAAAAAGTTCTATTCGAATAATTCTTCACAATAGCTTGTGATCGTGTACATTTACCAAATAAATCCGTTTTCAACATCGCCAATTACATTTCGTGCAAAAATCCATTCGTTTTAATTTCACAGAACGTCGAAGATACGAAGTTTATTTTGAGTTTTACTCTCGGTTTTAATAAAAAGAAGACTTTCTTTTCTGCTCTATTTCTTTCTTTATCTTTAAGTTTGAAATAATTCTCAATAGAGAACACATTAGATTCAATCAGAGAACCGCATTAATTTGATCAAATATTAATCTATCATATTCAGTTCGAAGTAGTTCGTAGACAAATTCAAAAAATTACAACTGTTAATAAGTTCTTCACAACTTATGAGCTAGAGGTGTCATTTACTTATTTAAAACGCAGTGGCGGATCCAGAAAATCAGTAAGGGGGTGGCACTTTTCTCAAGGGGGGTGGCGCTCCTGGTCAAAAAACGGTTTTGGAAGCCTATTTGAAGCAGTACGACTCTTTTCTGTTTCATTTCTGCTGGGAAAAATCGAAAAAAATTTCGTAAGGCGGTGGCAGTCGCCGGGTAGCCGAACTGGTGGATCCGCCACTGTCAAAACGGCAGTTCATAGAGTTTTATTAGCTAAAAATATATTCATTAAATTTTCATATACAAGACAAATCATTTTTTTAGAGAATGTCTTCGTGAAATTAGTCCAGAAAAATTACAACGTGTTTTAAATATACTCGAAAATGTTAGTCAAGCACAAATGACAGTAAGTAAAAGAATAATGAAATATTATTATAAAATTTATTTTATTTGATTATTTATAGAATGAAATGATTACTGAACTTGGCGAATATTTATATCAAAAATATGCTCCACAAATATTTTTGCTCAAATTTTATGAAGACAATTTACGCACACATACATAAAATCGATCTGGTCATTGATTGCTTTTTTTCCTAACTATTTCAACTTTTATTATTTAACAAAGAAACCGAGTGAGAATGAGAAATGTAATGTTAATATCTTCAAATTTTTGTTTTGAAGATTGTTTTTTTTTCATGTTTGTATATTTCATATTGCTTTCGTAATATAACCGTCTTTGTGTTAAATATTTACTTGTTTTATCTCTTTTTGTCTTGCAATGAATATGTTTTGTTTTCTTTTAATCACGTTAGCAATATAAATATACCTTGTTCTTCTTTTGTTTTTGAAAACATTCTATAATAGATTGTAGTATCGATTATTATTCTTTGTTATACGGTTATTTTAACATAGAGTTAATGATGGACAAAACAACTCAAAAGACAAGTGTGTATATATATACAGAAGTTTTATGCACTTCAATTTTGGTTTCTAATTTAATTTGAAATGTAGTTAAAAAAAAAGAAATCGTATACAGTAAATATTTTGTTATAAAGTGATTTCATGTCGAAATACACTGGATTTTTTTGGAAATACATGAAAAATCTTTTTCAATTTTGTTTTTTGTCATCTTATTTTCTAATAATTTGTTTAATGAAAATATGTTGATATGATTTCTTTGTATTATAATAAATTATAGTCAACTTTAATATGAATTCAAGAATAAAATTCTTTCGACAACTCGTCTTCATCAAAAGACGATATTCAAATACAAGTAATAGGTTTGATCATTTCAGCAATTGCTATTACGTCTTATTTATTAAGTTTAATGATTCCTTGAACTGTTTGTGATAAGTTTTTTTTAAAGATCTTCAAATATGATAAGAAAAACAAAACAGATAATCAACTGAATATCTATCAAGTTATACTCGACTATCGTGGATGATTTAAATGTTAAATTAGTTTTGCCTCTACAATTTGTAGAATAGTCAGTATTTATAAGTTTAATAAAAACTGTTGAGCCAAAAATTCAGCACAACAAGTCATCGAACGATGATTTCTTCTTTATATGAACAAATGCATAATTAATTAAAAGATTTTTGTTGAACATCCACATTTTTGTCGTTGTTTGGAGTAATAGAAGGTTCAGATCCTTGTTTCGTCGTAATTTACATGATTTTTTTAATAGAAATAATTTATAATTTACTTCGATTTGATTTGAGTCGAAAAACTGTTGACATGTCCATCTCTAGAAATAATTCAGATCTAATTTGCAGTCATATATTTTGGAAAAAATTTGTATTTTAAAAAGTTGACAAAATATCATATTTTTAACATAGACTAACTACAGTCAAATAACTCACTTTGAAAGATTTATTTGTCATAGATGTTATAGAAACGTAGGTTATTAAGGTCTTTTTTTCAGACAAAAGAATAGATTGAAGAAAAAAAATGATTTTCTAGACGTTTATTCTTCGAATAGATTATGAAAAGAGCCGTAGGATTTTGACAATTACTATCTATTTATGCTTAATTAATAGTAAAATAACAAATTTTTACAATAATAAATGAAAAAAAAAAGTCTCATAATTTCCATCTTTATATTCATGATAGTTGTTGATAATGTTCAGCAGTTGGTGATGGTGTATCGCCTTCATTCTTAACTATTTCACCTTTTCGATCATCTGTTCTTGTTCCTGCTCCGCCATGTTCATCACCTAATTTCCCTAAATTTCTATCAACCATAGGACCCTGATAACTATGTAACATCGAATTTGTAGTTGTCATAGGTACTGATGATGATGATTCTACAATTGAACTATCACCTGGAGGAACATAACCCACATGAGTTTGACCGATATTTGTTGGTTTACCAGCTGCAGTTGAATAGTAAAAACCTGATGGATCAACCTTAGGATTTGGATTGTGCGACATAGCTGAGATCAAGATACTGTTGTGTAATACGTATTCTAATATTTTTATTTTATTATGGCTTGCAAAAGGAGAAAGAAAATTAGGTAGAGTAAAAAGAGAACAGAAAAGAAAAAAATTCTTCTCACAATAAAAGAAAGAATAAAAAAGAGTTTTTAATATTTTGTTCGTTGTCGCAATTTGTCTGCGTAGGATTTTGATTCGCGATTTTCTTCGATTGAAAATGTATTGATGCTTGTTTGATAATATTGTTTAGTTGAAGTTAAGTCATCAATAAGATATTGTCGTTTATGAACAATATCATCATTTGAATAAACTCCTTTCGTAATATCATAATTAACTGGAACAAGAAATTGACGACTATTCGACATTTATTATTTGTGTTGTTGCCTTGTCAATAGAACACACAGTGAAATGAAGTTGTTTATTCTTATGGAATATAATTCCTAGGAAAAAGAAAAAAGAAAAAAGTGTTGGAAACAAAAAACAGAAGAAAGAAAGAAAAAAAATCAACGGTAGAAACAGTTAAAATTGATCAGAGATGGGATCAGACAAATATGATTTGGTTTTAATTGAAGGAGAATTTTAATTTAATCTAATTCATATTTAAAAGATGAAACATTTAAACGTAAATTGTATAATAAAAGTTTTGTACCATTCATTCTTTTACAAATATTTGAACATAAAAATGACACTTGATCTTTGTTTGCCTATCATGCGATACAAAACTGTACATTTTGCAAACTCTTGTTGACTTTAGTTGAAAGCGATGAAACAAAAGATCTGTATAGGCTACATGAAATCATTCCGTCAATAGCATCTATTTCTCGCGTAATCTATGATAATGCATTTTTTTTATGTAAAAGAATAGTTAAGTTGTTAAAATATAATCTACTGCTAGACCATACTCGAAAATCTTTACCAATTATACATCATACGATATTTTTCAATAAGCATGCCTTTGATTGGACAACCGATCATATTTTGATAAAAATCGATATTTTTCATCACTGGGTTAATTATTTTTAAAACGAGTATTCTACAAATAAATAGGGTCCATGATCAGATTACGATTTCTAAAGCATTAATATGTTTTTTTTCCAGAAGACAAAATTACACTTTGTACGAATCAGTTGAAAAAGTTCGAATACGATGAAAGTTGATTATTTTCGTTGTAGACACTGAAATAAACGGTCTCTATAATGTACATAGATATTGTTATCAAACAATTATAAATAATGCTGAAAGTGTATTTTGCTTGAAATCTAATGAGACATGCTCAGTCCGTTAGGTCTTTGCTAAGAACTTAGAAAAAGTCTTGTAAACACAAATATATTTGAATATGAAGTAAATATCATTCATAGAATCACATGACACAGTCAATGAATTTATTTTGTTCTGTTCTTTTAAATTACAATCAACACAAGTTGTTAGAGAATTAAATGCTGTACCTGCTGACATTAACATTAAAATGACGTAGTGGTTTTTTCTTCGCATCAGTATTTTCATAATAAAGAACGTCGTAAAAAGTATTGTCACATCTAGTATTTCTCTTGAATAGTAAAAGACAAACAGAAATCAAGGACATACATTTTTGTAAGTCTTTGAGTACGTTTTCTCTATTAGTGTATCTCTTTATCTAAATATAAAAATATGAGAAAAAACTGTTTGTTTCGTACATTGTTTTTTTTTTTGTTAAAATGATTCATTATACACTTGCTAATGTTTTTCTTTTGTACGTTGTGTAGTAACGAACTAAATGTCAAGCAATTGTTATTGCGTAGGTTTTTGATTAAATGGTTTAAAAATAAACTTTTTACTGTCAATTATTATATACAATCTTGTTGTCTAAGTATTTGTCAAAAGTTTGTTTATTTCAAAGCAATCAAACTATAAATTTGGAATTACTTAACAGCAAAGATTATCTAAATTTTAATATATGCGTAAATACATGCGCCATATAACACGAAATAATTTTTCTATAAAGCTAAACTCCACAAGATCAAGCAAAATCTTTATATTTTTTTAATTTTAATTTCGAAAATGAAGAATAATAGAAACATGTTAGAAAACAATCAAGCGAGTTCATAAGCTATATCAATAAAAAACAAATCTACACAATACAGAAGTTGTAAGCCAGCACATTTTTTTTTTCTACAAACAAAACAACCGTTAAGTAAAACTATAATAAAACATAATGGCATCCACAAATTCTTCTTCTATTTCTGTATTTGTTTGTTCTGTCGTTTCTTTATTTTTGATAAGATAACCAGCTTTTGGAACTCTTCCAATTTCTTGAAATCCTAATGATCTCCAAAGACGAATACTAGGTGTATTATTTGCAAATACTAAATTAAACATCGAAGCTTTATAACCTAATAATGGAACTATTTCAATGAAGGCTAATGCCATAATTTTACCAATGCCTTGATTTCGATACATATCCGATGTGATAAAACCTCCATTGCAGATCTAAAGTATTGTAAATAATGGATACTACAAAAGTTTTGCATTCAGTTTGTTTTCAATATAACGTGAGAACAAGTCGTTATGAAGATTCAATGATTTTCTTGTGTTAGAAAAAGCAAGGTCTCTACTATAAAGCTATGTAAAAATACTCATTTCAAAATACTTATTGAAGGCTATAAAGTTTAAAAAACATATTTTAATTAAAAAAAGTATTTTGCCACTTAACAAAAAATTAGTAATAAGTAGTGTATTTCATAGATTTGTTTTGCACTTGAATGTCAATATTTTTAGGCACGTTATGTGTAATTGTAAACAACGTAATGCAGATTTTCTAGTGATATCAAATAGTCGAATTACATAACCACAGATTCTATAAGAAATAGTCTTATGAAAAACTTGTTTTTTCTTCTGCAAGGTCCAAGGAAGGTTTTCTCATAAAATCTTATATTCTATTTTATATAATGTGCTTGTGTAGATGGCTCACTAAGCTATTGTTGAACATAAAATATAGGATATTACTGCCTTCGAATTTTTGGAAAAATCTTAATTAGTTTTCAAAATCATTTATCAATTGTAAACACTTTTCTTTTCCAAAAGCCACTAGAAGAATGTCAATTTTGAACTCAATTGATAACTTGAAAATATTATTTTCACTTATTTATGATGCCCTCTTGTAGTACTACAACATTCGATAAAACACAGCAAATAAGATCAACTTTTTTTTAATAGATAGCGATTTTCTTCTAAATTTCAAAAGCTTACAGAGAACTTTTTCAACCAAAAATGCTCTTGAAACATTTTATTCTTTATTAAGTATTTTAAACGAAATATTTTAACAGAATTACTTAGGTAATAGAGACTCCACTCTTTCTAACAAGAACACTATTAAGTTTCCACGATGAGTTGTTATCATACTATATTGAAAACACAATTAATGCAAAACTTTTGCACCATCCATTAGATTAAAATAAGAAAATTCAATAATTACATGAGAACATCGACCAGGAAAGTTTGGTTTAATATAAAATGTACCTAATATAGTTTTTTCTAGATTATTAGAAAAATCGATAGATAATGTTTTTCCACTATTAATAACAATGAAAGCATCTCCAGATAAGAAATAAGTCTTGAATTCAGATAAATTAAGTGGAAATTTTTGTGGGTAAGTATTTCCGGCTTCAATTTCTTTGTTTAATAAAGATTGTAAATAAGATATTAATTTTGATTCATCTTCTAATTGTTGTAGAATGGTAGTTAATGAATGAACAGATACTAATTGATTAGATTTAGTTGTACTTTCTATTGGAAGTAATGATTCTAATTTTGATGAGTTATATTCTTTTGGTCGATCAATTTTTCCATATGCTGATGACATCAGTATAAGTTTAACTAGTCTAATTTATCTACAAGATTTCTGAAATAATAATATATCCTAATCGCAGTGACGTGCCCAGAGGGAGGATTGAGAGGATTAATCACCCCTGAGCAAGAAAAATAGCTAGATGCAGGTACGAAGAAAGAAAATTTGGCGAAGCGAAAACGTTTTTTTCACCAGAGTACTCTGACACAAGGAAGGATTGATGTCCCGCCCCCCTGAAAAAATTCCTGAGCACGTCATTGCCAAGCGATAAACATATATTCATCAACAATTTGTAGACAAATGTAATCAATATGGACTTTAAATTGAGCTACTGTGTCTTACTGCGTCTAATAAACACTAAAAATAATATTCTTTGCTATTTATTTCTTTACAGTCTTCTTGATATTATCATATACTGATGCAATTATTCTTTGACATAAACGAAAACTCGATGTGAAGTGCTATTCAAAAGATAAAGCAACTTTTATCGTGTTGCTTGCTGTTGTACTTATCATCCATTCATATTGGTATCTACAACTCACAAGAACAATACAATAAAGAAAGAGAAGAGCGAAAGGTGAAAACAACACTTTTTTCTTTTTGTTTTGTACATTATTTTGTAAATAATCATGTACTCGCTACACATGCATTCGAATATTGCATTCATGATCCAATTCATAAGTAGAATGTTTAGACTTCTATTTTGATGTTTATCATTATTCCTGAACATAATTACTGTTCACAGTTTTTATAATTTCAGTGAAAAGCATTTATTTTATAATGTATCACTTACTTCAGTTCGATGAATAACTAAAACAACACTTGACTTATCTGTTTTATGTAAAGTTTATTCCTCGTTTCTAATTATCCGATTGGAATTATCTTAGAATAGTGTTATCACTTTATTTTGTAAGCTGCCTTGATACAAAAACAAATCAATGAAAACAGATCAGGATACTTCTATTGGCATTAATTGCAGAAGTAACAGCTCAAAAAATGTTAATAAAACCCTTTGTTTTTAGAAAATTTTTATTAGACCTATTAGAACTAGTTATTTGGTTGATAAAACCGAATATTTTCAACATTGTTCGGAAGAACAAATTCGAAAGTAAACGGGGATAGACCCAATGAATATACCTAGTTCTTCTTCATTGCAACACAATATTACTTTTTCGATACTGATTAAAATTTATATATATTTTTTCTATTTATTTTATTTTAAATCTATTAACATTATTCAAATAAGTCTTTTCTCTTTTTTTTTCTTTACATTCATCATAAACACCAAAAGAATAATCTATTCTTTCATATTCGATTGTCGATATAATATAAATAATATAAATAATAATAATAATAATAAATTAATTTAATATTGTCGTCGATAAGCACCTAACGGTTCCACATTCGTAGCAAACAAACTTTCATCGAAACGCTGTTCAGATCGACGTCCCATATCATAACGACAAACTTGTGATGTACTTCTTATACCAGCATAAATTGATTCACCACCATTACCAAAACCAGCAAATGATGGAGAACCATATATTCGTTGTGCATACTCAAAATAACATGCACGATAAACAACAAATAATGAAATTGATATACCAATAATAAATATAATTGAAATAGTAGCAATAACAGTTGATCGTTCAACACCACCTTGAGTTGTTAATGATGAACGACCATAAAGAGCTTCTATAAAATAAAAACTATAAACTGATTAAAACAAATATTTATTTACCATAGTTTGTTTTAGATTTTTGTGCTGGTTGAGGTAATGGTAACTCAATAGTAAATTGTTGTTGTACTTGTCGTATTTCATAATAACCAGGATTATTATCATCAAATAGATTAGTTGATGGTGATTGATCTATTGACCAAGTTAAATCAGATAATAATCTAGCTAATTTCTTTTTCGTTTGTTCTTCATCAATATCATCTCGTTTTCGTCGTCGTAATGCAATAACACTTGCACCATCTTCATCAACATAATCAAATGGAGCATAATCAGTTGTTGATGTTAAGGATGAATTCATTATATTCATTGAACCACGATGTAATGTTGATGATCGTCGTATTTCCGGACATAAACGCTTAAAAAAGAAAAATTCTTTATTTCAATTAGATAAAATCATTTACTTCTTGACAATTTTCTATTCGACCATAACATATTGCTATTGAACAACGTAAATAAACAATTGATGTTGTATCAAATTTATGCATTTGAAATATAGTACTTTTAATATGATCTGGATCAATACGTTGAAAACGTATTGATAAACGTGAATCTAATGATGGACAACGATTTATTAATAAAGGAATTTTTTCTAATTTTATTTCATTATCAGATACACTTGATGCTATTGAACAATTTTCAGCTATAATTTGATGACGATCAGGATTAAGCTCAACTTAAAAAGAAAACCCATTGAGAAGATAAAAAAGAAAATTTGAGAATAAATTTATCATAGAACCTGTTCGATATTTTATTTCAATAAAAAGACGATCATCAATAGAAACTGAACCACCATTATCAATTAAACGTTGTTGATTTATATCATATAAACCAAGTATAAGTTCACCTTGTCGAACAGATTGGCTTGGTAATAATGGTGTTACAATTGGCATATTAAAAGGACTATTCATAAATTCATTTTCTTAACAAAAAAAAAAATTATATATAAATTCAATATACTTTTTTTCTAATGATTCTGTTATAGGTATTAATGATAATGTTGTTCGACCATGACATAAATCACTATCTATTTGACAAAAACATTTATCCATATAATTATCAGAATTGTCATCTAAGCAAACACCACCACGTTCAATACATGAAACACATGTTGAATCTATTGATGCATTAATAACTCTAACTAAATATTCGAAACAAGAAAAATAAAAAGAATTTTTCCTTTTTGTTTTTTTTTTTAAATGAAAATATTTCAACAAACCACAATGAGTTTTATTAACAGATATATATTGATCTTTACAAACACATCGAAAAGCACTTCCTCCAACACGTTTACAATTGGAATTCAAACTAGCACATGTACCTGGAATGCAAAAATCACCCAAATTATGTTGTGATTGACCTGGAATTATAAAGAATAAAAAAAAACATGAATAAATCATTACAAATAAAAATAAAACCTCGTCGTTTAGCATCAACTAATGATAAAGACCATAAAATACCAATAAATATCAGAAAATCAAGCGTATACATTTTCTATGGCTATATCGACATGTTGATATACTTATTTGTACAACTCTTCTATTGTCTTTCGTCCAAATGTTCTTATTTGAAATATGTGTTCAAGTTTTTTTTTCTTATCCTCTTATCGATAGTAATCATTTCCTAATCCTTTTGTCATCATTATTCGTTGTCATTCTTAAGCCAATTATCATCATTGTTCGATCCGATCATCATATGTCCACATACTTGAGTATGTCATCGAAATGTTCATTGTGTACTCGAACAGCATGTTTATTTAGAAAGAGACTGAAAGATTACAATAGATGCCTAAATGAAAGTATTCATGAACACACGATTTTTTAAGTATTATCATATTATTACACAAAAGATGCTTCATAGATACGAGTGGAACTAACTTTTTTTTGGTTTCTACTAAAAAGAGATTCAATTCTGATACGGAACTTAGCATAAATTTTTTCAGCATAGAACTTAAAACTATTTCTCTATCATTGTCTATAAATTTGAAATATTTTGTGTCTATATTGTGACCCATTTCATTGTTAATATTCTCGTAATTGAATGCTAAATTACATATGAATAAGACGAATATTTTAATTTCGATCCTAGCTTGTCCATATCTATATGTATAAAATAAAATTTCTTTTAACAAATTCTTGAAATGATGTTTATCTTGTATTTAGAGTTATCATTGATCTTTTACTTTTTTTTGTTTGCCCTAGTCAGTTTGAAGATCAAAGAAAATTCTTTATGTTGCATAGTATGAATACTACATTGAGTGTTTAGACCTCCGCTTACAAATAGATCTTAATAAAGAATTTTAAAAAAGAACTTTTTTAAATAATTTTCTTACGGAAGAAGAAGAGCATATTTAGTGTCAATTTACTGCAATTGATTATATTGAATTCATTTAGAATATGTTCGGTAAACATTATTTTGAAGAGAACAGAATTCGAGGTATCAAAAGAATTCATCTATATTATAATGGAAAAGATCATGTGAAAGTAATCTCATCATTAGCAAGTCGATTCACATGAAATAGGTGAGAAACATTAATATTTTTTATACACATTGAGTTTTTCGCTTTCATAGAATTTCCTTCAAGAACAAATATAGTTTTGTAAGTGTTCTAATTAATTTAATTGCGTGTTTTCTGCAATAACTAGATGAAAAATATATTCGAAGGCTCAGAGAAAATAGATAGTTCGCGATTCTATTAATAAATTTTTGTACGGCTTAAGAATCGAACTTAAGTTCAACAGTAAAACACTTTTGCAATTAGATTTTCTGTATAAATCACTAAAAAAGTTTCTAGAATCAAAAGATATAGTAAATAGTTAGCTATATTTTCTAATGATGACATTGTTTGCAATATTACTTTCAGAATGATTGTGTTGTAAATTAAACTTCGATCATAACAAAATGAAGTCAAAAAGATAAGCATTTATTATGAAATTTTCCAATTGTTTTATTGCTCAAGAAGCAGAATCTTTTTTTTTTAATTTCATTTTGCTGTAATTAGAGTTCAGTTTATAACATAATAACGAAAAATGTTTTTAAAAATATTTTTAATAGTTTTCAATATAATACTACTTTACAGAATATAGCAACTAACTCTATATTATTCTTCAGCTCAGAATTTTTCTTGATAATGTTTGATTTACGAAACCTTTTCAATCATGGATAGAGAATCGAATAAGATCTGTTTTGATATAAAGCTTCAGCTTGATTGATAAACATTATGAAAATCATTAACAGAATTAAGAAAAGCCCATTTTCTTCTGGGATACTTGGCAAATGA